CCTCTCTCTCCGTTACACAGGAATCTACCCTAGCTCACAAGCTCGCAGTGGTTCGTCTTGCCAAGCTGGCAATCCTGACAGATCTCTGTAAGGTCGACTCTTCTGGTACCCGCTGTGACTTTCTTGCATTTGCTGAGACGCTCCATGATGACTCTTGCATACACCTGCCTGGGTACTCTTGCTGGCATGTGCCTCGCGCACGGGTGTTTGATCATACTCGTGGGGTCGAGGCCCGCTCTGGTGGCGTCGCCGTGTACACTAGCCGTCGTGTAACCCCATTCATACAGCGGCGTGAGTGTGCGATAGGGAATGTTGTGGTTCTTGAGTGCTTGCCTGGCTTGTTTGGCCTCGATCGACCTGTCTTTCTCGTGACGTGCTACGTACCTCCTTATGCGGAGCCCGATCAACCGGGCGGCGAGTGGTGGGAAGCTGTCGACTTACTTTGTGCCGCCTTGAGTGAGGAGGGGCGTCTGCTGCTGGCTGGGGATTTCAATGCACACACATCCACCTTGCCCGACACGCTCAGTGTCAGTGTTGATGATTATGAGGATGTGGGGGTGGACATCCATGCGCTCCACCCCTTACTGCTGGCCCCCCCCCCCCCTCGCCTCTCTACCTGTAGCTCGGCACCTGACCTTAAGGGCAGCTCTCTATTGGACATGTGCCGGTCGAATGGGCTGCTGATTTTCAATGGGCGGCCTGTCGGCCAGTCTCCTCAGTCTGTCACCTCAGCTGCTACGTATGGGCAGGGGCGGGGCACTGTGATTGACTATGTGTTGGCATCGCCATGTCTGTACCCGGTGGCCACGCATTTCCGACCGACGCTTACCAGCCTGAACACACAGCACCTTGCTCTGTCCTTTGGCTTGCAGGCGGATACCGAACCGCCGGCAGTGACTGACCTTGGTGCTTGTGTTCAGGCAGCGTGTCACAATCCCAGCCGTCTCTTATATAGGTGGGCAGATGGTGATATTCATGCGATTGCTAGTGATTTGGCGACTGACCCACTGCACACGTCTTTGCGTACTGAGCTGCTGCATGCCATGCAAGCGCACGACGCGACACGAAGTCGAGTGGCTGCTGGCCGTCTATTAGACTCGCTGACCCGCATATTCCATATGCACTCTTCACGTGTGGACTGCCGTCAGCGGGCTGCCGATGGGTTTGCAAGGCCTGGCTGGCCGTGGCCCTCGCACCACTCTGTCTGCCCTTGCCCTCCCACCTGCGCTTCACTGTGCTATTCGTGATGCACGGCGTGCGCATGCGTGTTGGCGTTCTGTATGTCTTGGGGGCGATGCTCACGCACGCGCAGCTGCTTACGATGCATTCCGCGGTGCGCGGGCGCATCGTAAGTCTCTCTGCAAGGCGTATCGCTGAGATGCTGTGCGTGCAAAGTTGTCTGAGCTTGTGTTGTCTCGCCGTGTGAAGGCAAGAGATTTTTGGCATATTTTTGACTCGTCACGTCGGGCGCTCCCTCCCCTCCCCCTGCACACACCCATACTGCAGCAGCAGACAGACTTTTTCGCCCATCTTTTTGTGGGCCGTGACGTCCCCTATTTCGATCCGGCTGCACCAGTATCAGCCGCTGATCGTAATGCTTAAGCCAAGTAGCGTCACGTGCCAGTAGACCGGTCGAGTACTTCCTCTCTCGCTCCTCCTGCTCTTGAAGCGATCCTGTCTTATTGCACTTCGACTAGCTCTCCTGGTATGGATGGCATCACTTGTGCTATCGTCAAGTGCGTTGGCCATCCCACCCTGTCTGATCTCAGCCAGGTCTTCACTGCCTTCTTTCGGACGGGTGCATAGGCGTATGCAGATGATCGTATTCTTATTCATCCATTGCACAAGAAGCGGCCTACGGATGTGCCCGATAATTGTCGCGGCATCCATCTGTTGCCTGTTTGGTCGAAGTTGTTTGGCCACTTACTGATGAATGCTATTCTCTCGCAAACATCCATATACCCAGAGCAAGCAGGGTTTCGTCGTGATCATTGTACGGTGGGTCAATGCTTTGTTTTGGGTACTCTGATAGAGAAGGCTCGGCGCGCGAGACAGCCCCTGTATGTCTGTTTTGTTGATTTTCGCAAGGCATTTAACACGATACATCGTGAGCTGCTGTGGGATGCGCTTCGCCGGAAGGGCATCTCAGAGCAGCTCGTGCGTACGCTTGAGGCGCTCTATGCTAGTGTCGAGGCATGTGTTGACGGTGGGTTTGAGGGCTTGTCAGCTGCATTCAATGAGGTGTGTTTGGGATTAAGCAAGGGGACGTACTGGGGCCTCTGCTCTTCTCTCTTTTCATCGACGACCTACCTGAGTATATTCGGGCTGCTCGCAAGGCTACTGCTCCTCTGCTGCGCCTGATCGATCTTGTCGTATTTGCCTTGCTCTACGCGGATGATTTGGCTCTGCTCGAGACGACTACGGCGTCCTCAGGAGAGCCTTAATCGTCTCTATGCGTGGTGTGGTGTGAAGCATATGGAGGTCAGTGAGCCTAAGACAGAGGTCGTTATCTTCAATCCTGAGTTTGCCCCAGTCTCACCCCCTGCTTTCTACTTTGGCTCGCCCGCTACTACTCTCCCTCGCAGCACGCACTTTCGTACTTAGGTGTGTGGTTCCATGAGAGTATGGGTTGGGCACATTACCTGCAGGTGATGAGTGGGAAAGGTGCGACTGCGCTGCGCCTCTTTCATCATCACCTCCAACACCTGCCTCGTCTTGACCCCTCTACCCTCTTCCTTGTCTATGATTCGATTGTCTCGTCAGTCTACCTGTACGGTTGCGAGTTCTGGGCGGGCATGCCATGCCGACAGTTAGACAAGCTGCATCGTCGTTTTTTGCTCCGTGCAATGCGTGCGTCGTCTTATGTTAGCAATGATGCGCTGTTGAGTGAGACCGGTCGCTTCTCTGTCACGTATGAAGCGCGTCGCAGACAGCTGGGTTTTTGTGTCGTATATGGAATGGCCGCTGCGGGCCTTTGGCACAAAAGGCCCTTCTGAAGGCTCAGACAGTGTACACATCCACCAATCACTTCAGCAACATGCAGACGGATCATACATACGTGTACAGACAGCAGCACAACACGTATGCTCGCTTTGCTGCCCTGCTCAGCCATGCTGGTCATCGCACTCTCATTTCCACTGTGGGCCTCATTACTGACGCTGTTTTGCGTGATCTTCATGTCGGCCTCACAAAGGCATACTACTCTGACACACTGGTCGCGCGATGGGATTCGTCTATTCGCGCTAATCATGCCGTGTTGCGTGAAGCGCCTTCTCTCCCTCCACCCCTCTCCCTTGCTCCACTGCCTCTGTGTCTGTTGCCATGGCGGGGTTACAGTAGGACTACTGCTCGCAGTCGTGTTCTCTTCCTTGTACGACAATGCCTTTTCACTGCCTGAGCCTTCTTCAATCATCACTTCCCTCACACATTCCCAGTGGTTCGCCGGGTTTTTGCCTCTCGTAATCAGCGTTGCTCCCTTGATCGCAATTGTCTTATCTATCTGCCCACATATGTGCCTGCATTCCTTCGTAATTTCATTCTTGAATCTGGTCAGGATTGGCTTCATCGTCTTATCCACCCTCTATCCACTTTCCCGTGTTATTTTTCTCTCCCCTCTGCTGAGCGCCGTGTGTTGTTTTCATTCCGCACCGGCACCTATACTTCTGCTGTCACAGATGGTCGGCTGACTCACCGGCCTCGTCTACTATGCTTCTGCCCATTCTGCGCTGCTACTTGCCCTCCCGCCAGCTGGCCCATGCCGTGCCGTGTGCCACCTGTTGAGGATGAGTTGCATGTGCTTTTCTATTGCACGCTCTATAGCTCTGCACGTAGGGAGGTCTTTCGTGTTGTTCACATGTATGGTTTGACTGCACCGGATGGTGTGGTGTATTTTTGGTGGGATCTTGCTCATTGTGATGCCCTGGTGTTCCCATGGTCCTTGCTTACTTCGCGCTCTCTCCCTGTGCAACGTGCGTTGGCTCAGTTTCTTTTGATGGCTGTGGCTTCTCGCAAGCGATGGCTTTCTTTGCACCCATCAGCTTAGTTTCCTCGATATGACAAACGCTTTTATGGACACAGCATCTGCCCTCAGGGGCCGGGACCTCGGTGTCCGTTAACAAACGAACGAACGAACGAACGAACACGCGCGAGATCTACGAGACATGAGTTTGTGATGCGCGTGGATCCAAGCTTGCATGTCCATGAGACCTCCGTCGTCACTGAATGCTTCTTTCGGCTTCGTCACATTCCTACTCGCTACCCCGAGCTACTGCTGATACTCCAACTGGTTATGAACGCCCACCTCGAGTGTGACGAGCCATCTGGGGTGCCTTCCCTCACCATCTGACGAGACACCATCTTCCCGATGGCTGATGGCATCGTTACCAACCCTTCTCGCTTCAGCGGCAAAGAGAGCGACTACCACAGCTGGCGTCAGTCGTTCGCTGGCATGTTCTATGGCATCGATGGCATGGCCAAGTACTTCCACCCGTCAACTGACGACGAGCTGTCGGTGCTACTCGCTGACGAGTCGCTCACAGATGTCCAACGCCGCAACATGAGGATGGAGAGATGGATGTTGTGGAGAGCACTGGACAGGGCCACAGAGGGCAAGGACTGTCAAGGAATGGTCCAGGAGGCAACTACAACACACGATGAATATGTGTCTCTGTTGGCTCTGCGTCGCAAATATGAGCCGAGCATCGAGC